TTGGTGATGCTTATCCATGAAGACAGAAAAAGTCAAACCCGCGTAACAAAGTGAAACTAAATCAGAGAGGAGCACAAAAGAGGCTTTTCGGGGTGATAAAGGGTCCAGCATCTATGATGAGAGCCTCCTGTGCCCGGAGCATTCTGGGAAATACAGACGTAACTCTTCCCATTGACAGACATAAGATCAGATAATATCCCCGTCTATGTTCCTATCTCCCCGATCAGCCCGGCGTCCCCCCCTCTCCCCCCGTCTCATCCTTGTAATCACTTGAGAGGCCGCGGACACCGATCTGCCTCCCTGAGCCCATTGTGATGAATGGAGGCGATATTACTGACACATGGAGGAAATGATACAGAAGGATAAGAGGAACGCTCCAAAGGCCATTACACCGCCATTCAGTGAGGCTTCAGGAAAGAGCCGTCATGATCTCATTACTGCGCTGCCGCCGCGCATCACCCACCGGACGCTGCGCACTTTAGCGTATCACACACGCGTTGCATCGACTGAACCAAGGCGCGGCGTAATCATCTGCAGAGGGGCAAATAGATGGAAGCTGAGGGATTCTAATCTGTGCCCGACCGATGGATCACCAATCTGCAATGCGTGTGGCATCAAATCTGAGCTGTAGATTGTCCGCCGGCGGTGGCGGCACGAGGTCCTCGAACACCCGCGGCGAAATGGCCAAAGTGCCCCTCCCTCCCCCCTCCACATTAGCTGCACACTACTGCAGCATCATAGGTTGCAGATCCCGCCCTTTTTTGTGCCCTCCCCTGCCTAGACGTCCAAGACAGCCGCCACTTCTGCCTGCCCCTCGGCCCGGCCCTGTCTGCTGGATTGTGCATTCATGGTTGGCTTCCATCGGGCGTCCTTGTGCACCTCTGTCCTGTTCAGCCACTCATGCCCCTCTGTGATGCCAAACAGAGGTTGACACCACTCCTTTAGAGCAGGGGTGGGCAACTCCAACTGTGCTTCAACTACAAATCCCAACCTGCCTCTGGCTCTGGGAGTCGTACTTGTAACTGCCAGTCTCGCAATGTCTCATGGGACTTGTAGTTCCACAGCAGCTGGAGGGCTGGAGATGCCCACCCCAGGCCTAGAGCCTATGGCTCTGCAGCTTCCTGTGTGGCCATCCTGCTCATTAAAGCATCAAAAAGCATGGTCAGCCATAATCCCACCTCAGCCATTTCAACAGACATTACAGACGCGGTCCACTGTTGTCACCATCAGGAAACCTGACAGACGACGCAGCAATCCGTATAACATAGAGCAATGGAAGCACGCACTCTAAATGCATTACAGGGTGACGTGTGACACAGATATAATCGCGCAGACTGAGGCCGTAAATTAGGTGCGTGTTTAATTTTGGCCGGGCCGGCCTCAGGGCGAATGTACGCGGCGTTTTATAATGTGCTAATGTACTAAACAGACATCAATCCCGCTCGGCAGCTGAGCCGCAGACATCACTCACTGCTAATGCCTCTGCTGCCTGCAAATCCCCAAAGAGAGATCCCGGGCTCCGTTGCCAAGGCAACCGGATTACGCCCCATCCCTCAAGTTGAGTTAGTGTTGGAAGTCGCTCTCGAGGACCGGCCTCCTCGTCCTGAAAACCCAGCCGCACACTCTCGGTGCGCGCACCAATGAAGATCGATGCCACAGCGCCGTCCGCCGCGCTCCTGCGAAAAAAAATCGAAGCTTTTCCTTCTGAATAATTAAAAAGGAAAAAAATAAACCCTCTCCGGAGCCATTTGTTCCCACAGCAAAGGCGGAAATTATATTTCCAGGTTTAAGTGTACCTGTCACGTGCACGCCGCGTCCGTCCATTGTTACATAACAGTCACTTATAACGATCATCAATACCGGTGACACGTTCTCTGAGGCGGCATTCACACCTAAGCGGTGCCTGTTACGTGCGTCTTACACGCATTTCTTATGAGTGTTTTTTGTGTGTTTTAATGAGCAGATTGCGGCATAATCATGTGCATGAGAAAAACGCGCTGAATCTGCGCAAAAATAATCGCACTGTGCGTTTTTCAAGCGTTTTCCATTGAGTCAATGGGGAGAAAACGTGTTGAATCTGCCCCAAAGTCTTGTATTGTGATTGTAATGTCTTCCCTATATTGTACAGCGCTGCACACACTGTTGGAGCTATATAAATCCTGTAGGGATGCACCGACACCGATACTAGTATCGGTTAAGGTGCCAATTCCAAGTATTTGGGCAAGTACTCGTACTCGCCCAAATGCTCCGATACCTAGCACGAGTACTTCCTGTATCAGGAAGCCGGGCAACGCGTCATTACACGCTGCCCGGTTTCCTGATTGGCCGGGAAGCGGCTCCATGCTCTCTTGTCACTTGTCCTTTAACCGGCTTCCTGATTGCCCGGGAAGATGGCCTATCAGGAAGCCGGGCGCCGTGTAATGACGCAGCGCCCGGCATTCTGATTGGCCGGGAAGCTGGCTTCATGCTGGCGAGATGACGAGGGAGGATGGAGCCGGCCTCCCGGCAAATCAGAAAGCAGGGCGTCGCGTCATTACACGGCGCCCTGTTTTCTGATTGGCCGGCCAGACGGCTCTGGGTGGGTACCGGAGGAAGGCCGCGTTCTGGCTGGAGAGGCCCCGGGGGTGACAGGCTGGACATACCAAGGTAAAAGGGGACAGACATTCTTCTTAATCAGGAAGCCGGGTGACGAGTCTTTACACGCCACCTGGATTCCTGAATTGTGATCGGCGAGTACCGAAAAAAGTACCGAAAAAATAAATAAATCGGTACTCGTACTCGGTACCAAAATACCGGTATCGGTGCATCCCTAAAATCCTGTATAATGATAATAATAATTTCTGCTTGTGACAAAATGCTCAGGTATGAAGCCAGGGCCATAGAACTGAACTGGATCCTGGGTTTGAACTAGGAATGTCCAGATACCAGTGCCGATACTCAGCATTTTCATGAGAACTCCCAGTGTTGCAGCTGGGATCTGACTCTGGCGCTCCACCAGTGTCCTGAAATCATCAGTCTCTATTGTTTTAGAAAAACTGTCACATGACAATAAACAAAAATGTATCAGTACTCGTACTCGCAATACTGGTATCTGTGCATCACTTGTATATGTTTATAAAAACACAATCATACATTATAACAGAGATGTACAAATCCCGGGAGCTCCGTGTGCTCCTTACACATGACAGCTGCCTCCTAACTTCTGATTTTTTCTCTAGCCTAGTCTTGGAGCTCCAAAGTATCGGTACTTGTACCGAGTACTATACTTGGTATCCGAACATCCCTAGTTCAAACATTTTGTCGCGCTGAATGATGCGCGACAATGCGCGTACGTGTGACTGGAGCCTTCATGTTTACTGGATTATTATAACCAGATTTTGATATCTATACATTGTTACATTTATGAATCGTGTCATGAGACTTGTGTTCAGATGTTTATATTTAACAATGTCTCATTTTATAGAGAAGTTGATACATTTCATTAAAGGAGAACTATGAGGTAAGTGAAAATCCCTCCTCCTCATAGTTCGAGCCGACGTGTGACAATGAAACTGTCACACGTCGGCTCAAACGGCGCGGGGGGGGGGGGGGGGGGGGGGGATTTCTTTGTTATCCTTATAAACTAATATAAACATTACATTTTCTGCATGCTCTTATTGGACTTTATACACCTCCACTGTTGGAGCGACGCCCCATTTTTGTCAAGAGCGGCCTCATCCAGCCATTGTGCCTCGTCCCAATCCTTCTGATCCAGTGATAATTTGAATCCAGTGTGCCACATTTTACAGGCGCCATGTTTTTTCATTCATTTCATTCGCCATTTTAAGACGCCGCATTGGGACTTATTAAAGGGTGACGGGGAAATTTTGCATTTAACAGACATCTCGTCATCAGTTCTCATCCTGGAATTCGTTTTCTGCACTTGGCTGTTCTCGGTCAGTAAATCTCTGTGGTCGCTGGGATCCATATTCTGGTTCTAGGCCCATGGAAATTCAGATTGAGCGTTCTCAGGGTATTTAGGCCCTCCCCCTCCCGCAGTGATTCATCTTTACAAATCCTTTAAATCCTGAAGAATAATTAATTCTACAAAACACGATCCAATCATAACAAATTCACAAAATTATATACAGTGATTTTACTTTAAAATAGTCAACAAAATACCGCCAAATGCCCAAAAGGGTGACTGTAGCCAAAACATTTTTCTTTTTGCTTTAAGTTAAATGAGAAAGGGTCAGACCCTCTGTCAGGTTTTTACTGCTGTTTGTATACCCGCTGGGAAGATTTAGGCTCTCCATGTGTCCTGGTTGCAGCTGTCACCAGAACAGAAATACAAGGGGAATCTTTCAATAGGGACACCTGTTCCCTGTTCTGGTGACAACTGATTTTATCTCAGTTCCTGATGTGCCATTAGGACAAAAAATTCTAAAAAAATTTCAGTTGTCACCAGAATAAAGGGGACATCTTCCAATATGGGCACCTTTTCTAATGACAACTAAGAGGGGATTTAGTCCAACTTCTTGTTGTGTTTTAGGACAGGAAATACAGTAAAATTTTCCACAACAAAAAGACAGGAAAACAGCACAGACAATGTTTTTAATTATTAAAATAAAATATTTGGGCTATAGATACTCTTTACAACTGAACACAAGGCAGATGTTATATATACAATAATATTTATTTCAAATCAAATTTTAATCCCCAATACCTGAATAATATCAGTTTCCTGTCATCCTGTCACAATATTGTGACATGCCAGGAAGTTTTTGATGCAGACTTGTGAAGTTACTGACAGGTCCACTTTAAAAAGTATATCTATCTTCTTCAGCACTAACTAGGGGTGCCTTATGAACAGCATGCTTTTTTTTCAGGTCAGTGATTCACTAGGTATTGAACCCATGGTTATAATTTCAACCTGTACCTTTAAGAACAAGTCAGCCAGAACACCTATTGTATCTCTATAATGACAGGTCCCCTTTAAGGCACAGTCCACTTACCCTGATGAAGAGGATCTTCTCTCCCACTTTATACCTCCCCTGAGAGAGGCGTTCCACACAAAACTTGTTGGGGCATTTACAAGGAGGGTCCTGAGAAATATGCTGCACCTGAAACACACAGGGGCTCGGGTTAGGCTGCGCTTCTGCAGGCAATATATGAAAGTGCTTTGAGGAAATTTCTGAGGGTTATCATTACACCCAGAGCTATGATAGAGAGATACAAAGTAACATTGTTTATAAACATTGATCAGAGGGAGATAGAGAGATACAAAGTAACATTGTGTATAAACATTGATCAGAGGGAGATAGAGAGATACAAAGTAACATTGTGTATAAACATTGATCAGAGGGAGATAGAGAGATACAAAGTAACATTGTGTATAAACATTGATCAGAGGGAGATAGAGAGATACAAAGTAACATTGTGTATAAACATTGATCAGAGGGAGATAGAGAGATACAAAGTAACATTGTGTATAAACATTGATCAGAGGGAGATAGAGAGATACAAAGTAACATTGTGTATAAACATTGATCAGAGGGAGATAGAGAGATACAAAGTAACATTGTGTATAAACATTGATCAGAGGGAGATAGAGAGATACAAAGTAACATTGTGTATAAACATTGATCAGAGGGAGATAGAGAGATACAAAGTAACATTGTGTATAAACATTGATCAGAGGGAGATAGAGAGATACAAAGTAACATTGTGTATAAACATTGATCAGAGGGAGATAGAGAGATACAAAGTAACATTGTGTATAAACATTGATCAGAGGGAGATAGAGAGATACAAAGTAACATTGTGTATAAACATTGATCAGAGGGAGATAGAGAGATACAAAGTAACATTGTGTATAAACATTGATCAGAGGGAGATAGAGAGATACAAAGTAACATTGTGTATAAACATTGATCAGAGGGAGATAGAGAGATACAAAGTAACATTGTGTATAAACATTGATCAGAGGGAGATAGAGAGATACAAAGTAACATTGTGTATAAACATTGATCAGAGGGAGATAGAGAGATACAAAGTAACATTGTGTATAAACATTGATCAGAGGGAGATAGAGAGATACAAAGTAACATTGTGTATAAACATTGATCAGAGGGAGATAGAGAGATACAAAGTAACATTGTGTATAAACATTGATCAGAGGGAGATAGAGAGATACAAAGTAACATTGTGTATAAACATTGATCAGAGGGAGATAGAGAGATACAAAGTAACATTGTGTATAAACATTGATCAGAGGGAGATAGAGAGATACAAAGTAACATTGTGTATAAACATTGATCAGAGGGAGATAGAGAGATACAAAGTAACATTGTTTATAAACATTGATCAGAGGGAGATAGTTTTGAATGTACTCTGTTTCATTTATCTGCAAATCAAAGAGATGAACTTCCATCTGTATATGATTTCAGTTAAAGTGACCTGACACAATATATATATTTTAATGTAAATGTTGTTCCTATTTAATCCTTTTATGAATCTTTAGTTTACTCTAATCAGCCTAATGAACTCATCATAATGTGATTTAGGAATAATAACACACGCATTGTTGCATTTTAGTGACAGGTCCTCTTTGAGGTGATCACATTCACATAATCAATACATATAATTCGGAAGCCTTACTGCGTCATCTAAGAGTTTCCCGACGCTCTTCTTTCCGGACGATGACTTTGTCGGGGAAGGGGACGGTGACGGCGTTGTCGGGGTCGATAGCGTTTCTTCCTGTTCTATCTCCTTTTCCAGTTTTATCAAACCGGGCGGCTCCACGCCAAACCTGCCAATCAGAGAGTCACATGATCAGCTTCCATGTATAGTATATAGGCAGCACGGGTAGCGCCTGCTTGTATCACACAGACATGCGGCACAATTTTTACACATTTAAAAAAAATATTTGACACCCAAACTGAATTTTCAGTCTAAATTACCCAAATACATTCCAGGTGCATGAAAACAAATGTTGTGCAAAATCTTCCAGTTTGTTTACTTTATAAAGAAAGCAGCCACAGCCTGAGTAGAAAAGCCCATCTCCTGCCAGCATGCTGCAGAGAAGGTCCTCTGCTCTCTGTGTGGGGAAGCAGCGGTCTCTCTGCAGAGGTCAGACACGCCCCCTGCTGAGACAGAGCTGGAAACCTTCAACGGGGAGTGTGAGCTTTGATGATTGGAGAGCTCTGACTCAGCAAGGGACATGTCAGACCAGTGGCGGAGCTAAGGAACAAAGGGCCCTGGTGCAAGATTTGTTTTTGCCCCCCCCCCCCAAAAAAAAACACAAACACAGCGCTCTCCTCCCGCAGCGCTCGGCCGGCTGTCACTTTCTCTCCTCCCCGCTGGGACACAGAGCAGCGCCCAGCGGGGAGGGAAGAAAGCACGGATGCGCCGCTGTATCAGCAGAAAAATTGCACTTTTGGCATTTAGCCAAAAGCGTCATTTCCGGACGATATCTTTTGGCGGCCGATATGGCGAGCACATGGGGGCAGAAGATATCAAATTGGGTGCAGGCCTGTCAGGAGGACGCCCCACCTCCTTAAAGGTACAGAGACACACAAGGAATCCCGCACATCCCATTGGCATCTTGGAGCACATGCCCCCATGTGCTCCAAGATGGAGACTCTCATAGTTTAGAGTTAGGACCGCACTATAAGAACCCTTTTCCTGCATCATGCTGTCAGGGGGACAGGCTTTTCAGTATTACCAAAGAGGTCCAAAAGAGGTCAAAGCCTCTTGAGAACGGAAGGTATTCACATGTCTCATTCCATCACATATCCCATAAATAAGAGGATCATTCCTCATTTCAGGAAAGGGGCGGGGCCATGCAAATCAATCCTTTACACCCCATCAGTCACATGCACATCCAGTACCACTGCTGTATTGTGCAAATAATCTGCAGGGTTATTCTGTGTCATTGGGTGCCAAGCCCTCCTCTATAGAAGCCATGGCAGTGGCGTCACTAGGGGGGTGCGGCCCAACACCTGGGTGACACCATTAAAGGGGTGACACCAAAATGAATGACAGTCACTTTGATGTCACCCCCTCTGTAAAGTCAGGCACTCAGTCATGAACCAAGAGCCCGACAGTTGTTCCAGAGAGGAGGGGACCCGGCAGCATATCTTATCCCATTGGGTGAATGTCCACTCCTCCCTCTGCCACAGAACACAAGCACCCATCACCAAGATGGCCGCCGGTGTGCCGGCAGATAACATTGCATGATGCATCACACGCATGTGTGAGGATGTCACGTGCAAGCGCAATGGCATCACTGCGGGGTGTCACCCGGTGCTTGCTCAAGGTCACACCCTGCCTCGGGACGCCCCTGAGCCGTGGTCGTGGTACATTGCGCCGATGATGGCCGACAAGCCGGAAACAGCTCTATGCAGTTTGGAATAAATGCCTCTATAAGGGGTTAGGTAGGCAACCTCGGCACTCCAGCTGTGGTCAAATTACAACTCCCATGATGCATTGCAAGGCTGACAGCCACAGGCATGACTCCCAGAGGCAGTTGCATGAAGGGAGTTGTAGTTTCACCGCAGCCGGAGTGCCCAGGTTGCCTACCCCTGAATATTAGGCTATATTTGCACTATACCCGTGGGGGTTCTGGATGGGCACTGGGCTGATGGGGCATTAAGGGATGATTTGCATGGCTCCGCCCACTGTCCTGTAATGAGGAGTAATCCTCCTATTTTGAGAGATGTGATGGGAGACATGTGAATACCTTCTGTTCTAAGACAGATGTACTGTACTGATGAACCTAAATACACATGCACACATTGCTGGATCAATGGCGACTGTAGAATAACGCTGCGCACATTGTAATGTGATGGTTCACTTCTCATCGCCATGTATTGGACAATCGCCCGGGACGGGATAAGGAATGATACCATCGCATTGTAATGTGTGTGTGTGTGCAGGGCCGGTGCACCACTAGGCAAACTAGGCAGCCGCCTAGGGCGTACTGTTGCCTAGGGCGCAGGTTTGAACTCTCACCCCTCCCACGGCACCTCCCCCATCTATTTCAAATTGCAAATTTACAATAGCCAATAGCAGGCTGGCTATTGTGCCCGCCCACTGAGCAGAAGAGCGGAACTAAGAGACAACTCTCTCTTTCTCTCAGGTCCGCTGATCTGCTCAGTGGGTGGGGGTTTCAATAAACAAGTCTGCTATTGGCTATTTCAAATTAAAATAGCCAATAGCAGTCTGGCTATTGCTCTCCTGGCTGTTTACATTCACCTGTCGCCTACGGAAGCTAGCCAGCAAGAGAATGGGACTGTGGGAGGGGGGGAATGGGGGTTGCACCGCGGTACCTGGGCTGGGAGGCGCAAGTAGCTGGTGTTGCCTAGGGCGCAAAATAGCCTAGCACCGGCCCCGTGTGTGTGTGTGTGGTCAGCGCCGGGGCGCCAAGAAGGGCGGCGAGACGTTATTAGAAGCGTCAGCCTTTGTCTGTTATCGCAGCCCCTCCATGAGACGTTCGGCGGAGCCGAGATGGGAACGGTTACAAGAATTCCATCCACTTCCTGTCTGTCTGGGCCCCCTCGGCCGTAAATCTCAGAATTCCCTCTGGGCCCCCCGGGCCCCGACACCTGCACGCAGGCCGAGTCATAAAAGAACCTGCTGGAAAACCCGCGGGCCGCGTCTGCCCCGAATGGCGGCGATATCAGACGCCGCCTGGAAGGGAAACACACACGGAGCTATTTATAGAACGACGGGAAAAAGTCAAATGGAAAAACGAGACGTTCTCCGCGCGGAGCTAAAAAAGATCTCGGCGGGCCGCGGGGCAGCCAGCAATCGCGGGTTACCCCGGAACGCCATGAAAGAGAAACGTTCCCCCGTCGCTCCTCTCCCCCGATATCTTTTTATTAATTAAATGACTTTCCAGACATTGTAAATCTAGCCGCCAGAAGCCCCTCCCACATTCCCCCAGGTGACGGCGCCTCCATAATGAGCGCTCTTGTTGGGGATTTCTGTCCGTTGTGGATTTTTCAGGTGATGGATGGTGGAGCTGCGCGGAGACACTACAGGAAGACGTCCCCATGTGACCCCTCCATCCAAACATGGAAGTATAGGAAGAGTCCCTGTGCTAACCCTATACCTTCCCTTCTCAGCCGTGCCGTGGAGGAACCAGAACATCCCTCTTGGTGCAGTCTACATCAAGTGAAATCCTGGCAGTGTAGTAGAGGCAGAAGTCCAGCCCTGATCATCAGTTTGTCACTCTGCTCTCTCCTCCTATCAGCATGCTTCTTCCCCTCTCTGCCAATCCTCCTTCCACCAGCCTACTACTCTGTCCACCTTTAGGTGATCTTTGAAATCTCATCAGACTATCCCACCCCCACCTAGCAACTGGACTTCTCCCCTCTCCATCAATTCATCCCCACAAAGCTCCCTCCTCATGTATCACTGGCCCCTCCCTCTTAGATTGTAAGCCCTCAGGGGCGGGGCCCTCCTTACCATCTTGTCTTGTATTGTATTTGTAATGTCTTTCTTATATTGTACAGCGCTGTGCAAACTGTTGGCGCTCTATAAATCCCGTATAATAATAATAACATTGTAAAAACGTTAGGTGAGAGGTGAAATATGTAGAGAATGTGAATCCGAAACGCGTACCTCGCTGCTATCCTGCCCAGCTCCAGGAGGCAAAGACACACTTCCCGCGGCTGCTTGTGAAGGACTAGGAGACAAAAGACGGGAAAATCATTTATATATCGGCTACAACAATATATATAATATCAATGTTATCTTTTGTGTTCATTGTTTCACCCAGAACAATCCGTCATTCACCCAGAACAGTCGGTCATTCACCCAGAACAGTCGGTCATTCACCCAGTACAGTCGGTCATTCACCCAGTACAGTCGGTCATTCACCCAGTACAGTCGGTCATGCACCCAGTACAATCATTCATTCACCCAGAACAATTGGTCATTCGCTTAGAACAATTGGTCATTCACCCAGTACAATTGGTCATTCACACAGAACAATCGGTCATTCGCTTAGAACAATTGGTCATTCACCCAGAACAATCAGTCGTTCACCCAGAACAATTGGTCATTCACCCAGAACAATCAGTCGTTCACCCAGAACAATTGGTCATTCACCCAGAACAATCGGTCATTCACCCAGAACAATTGGTCATTCACACAGAACAATCGGTCATTCACACAGAACAATCGGTCATTCGCTTAGGACAATCGGTTATTCACCCAGAACAATCAGTCATTCACACAGAACAATCGGTCATTCACACAGAACAATCGGCCATTCACCCAGTACAATCGGTTATTCACCCAGTACAATCGGTTATTCACCCAGAACAATCGGCCATTCACCCAGTACAATCGGTTATTCACCCAGAACAATCGGTCATTCACCCAGAACAATTGGCCATCTAGCTTGGAGGTTCATTAATTGAACAAGATGATCAAGTACAGCTGACGCGTTTCAAGCGGGAATGCCTCCCCCTTCTCCAGGGCTCTAAACATCTTCTAAAAAGCCTAAAATAGTTGGAGGAACAAGATCATCATATCGTGCGTTTCGGGGGAGGGTTCTGGCGAGTGTCAGCTGGGTCTAGAGTCTGGGACATGGTTGGCTCCCCTCATTGTTGTCAGAGGAGCCGATGTACTCCAGACCCTTTACCAGGGGCGTCCCAAGGCTTGGTGACACCCGGAGCGGAGACCGGGTGACACCCCGCTGTGACGTCATTACGCATGCGCGGCCGTCTTATTGACGCCTGCCGGCGGCCATCTTGGTGATGGACGCAGGCAGAGAGGAGGGGACGTTCACCCTGCGGGATGCGGTATGCCGCCGGGTCCCCTCCTCTCTCATGACACTGCCGGGCTCTCGGTCTGTGACCAAGTGACCGACTTTTTATAGGGTGTGACACCACAATGACTGTCAGTCATTGTGGTGTCACCCCTCCAATGGGGGCATCCAGGTGCGGGCCGCACCCCCCTTGTGACGCCACTGCCCTTTACCCAAAACACGTTGGCTGATGATGATTTTGGTCAGTACATGAACCACCAACTCTTTTAGCCCAATTTCAGGCTTTTTTGCAACGGTTGTGGAGAGCCCTGAAGAAGGAGGGGAGGACTTCCCCCTCGAAACGCGTTGCCTGTACTTGACGATCTTGTTCAATAAACGAACCCCCAAGCTAGATGATCGGATTGCCAGCACTGTGCTCCGGACTTTCCGAGAACATTTGGGGTGCAGAATGAACGCCCCGTGTACACAACCCCCGAGACATGAACAGTGACCCTCCTGTGACAGTGAATTCTATATGTTGCATCCAGTCATGTGATCTGCGTGAACGGCGCGCACACAATCAAACCAACAAACGCACCACTGATGAGGGAACTGCGGTCACAGACTTCTGCAGGTGCGTCAAAGTGAATCTAAACCCCCCAAAAAATGTAATTTCTTTTCTTTTGATCTGTTAAATATCCCATTGAAAGCGTTTCCTTACATCTGTTCAATAAGTGCAAAGTGTTGATCCCGCCAGAAACCAGCGAGCCGAGAACTTCCTGTGCTCTCCGCCTGTTCTGACTGACATTGTTACATTGTCTCTAGAAATGCAAAACTCCTCCTCCCTATTTTATAGAGATAAAGAGATAAAGAAGATTAGAACAATTGGTCATTCACCCAGTACAATTGGTCATTCACACAGAACAATCGGTCATTCGCTTAGAACAATTGGTCATTCACCCAGAACAATCAGTCGTTCACCCAGAACAATTGGTCATTCACCCAGAACAATCAGTCGTTCACCCAGAACAATTGGTCATTCACACAGAACAATCGGTCATTCACACAGAACAATCGGTCATTCGCTTAGGACAATCGGTTATTCACCCAGAACAATCAGTCATTCACACAGAACAATCGGTCATTCACACAGAACAATCGGTCATTCACACAGAACAATCGGCCATTCACCCAGTACAATCGGTTATTCACCCAGTACAATCGGTTATTCACCCAGAACAATCGGCCATTCACCCAGTACAATCGGTTATTCACCCAGAACAATCGGTCATTCACCCAGAACAATTGGCCATCTAGCTTGGAGGTTCATTAATTGAACAAGATGATCAAGTACAGCTGACGCGTTTCAAGCGGGAATGCCTCCCCCTTCTCCAGGGCTCTAAACATCTTCTAAAAAGCCTAAAATAGTTGGAGGAACAAGATCATCATATCGTGCGTTTCGGGGGAGGGTTCTGGCGAGTGTCAGCTGGGTCTAGAGTCTGGGACATGGTTGGCTCCCCTCATTGTTGTCAGAGGAGCCGATGTACTCCAGACCCTTTACCAGGGGCGTCCCAAGGCTTGGTGACACCCGGAGCGGAGACCGGGTGACACCCCGCTGTGACGTCATTACGCATGCGCGGCCGTCTTATTGACGCCTGCCGGCGGCCATCTTGGTGATGGACGCAGGCAGAGAGGAGGGGACGTTCACCCTGCGGGATGCGGTATGCCGCCGGGTCCCCTCCTCTCTCATGACACTGCCGGGCTCTCGGTCTGTGACCAAGTGACCGACTTTTTATAGGGTGTGACACCACAATGACTGTCAGTCATTGTGGTGTCACCCCTCCAATGGGGGCATCCAGGTGCGGGCCGCACCCCCCTTGTGACGCCACTGCCCTTTACCCAAAACACGTTGGCTGATGATGATTTTGGTCAGTACATGAACCACCAACTCTTTTAGCCCAATTTCAGGCTTTTTTGCAACGGTTGTGGAGAGCCCTGAAGAAGGAGGGGAGGACTTCCCCCTCGAAACGCGTTGCCTGTACTTGACGATCTTGTTCAATAAACGAACCCCCAAGCTAGATGATCGGATTGCCAGCACTGTGCTCCGGACTTTCCGAGAACATTTGGGGTGCAGAATGAACGCCCCGTGTACACAACCCCCGAGACATGAACAGTGACCCTCCTGTGACAGTGAATTCTATATGTTGCATCCAGTCATGTGATCTGCGTGAACGGCGCGCACACAATCAAACCAACAAACGCACCACTGATGAGGGAACTGCGGTCACAGACTTCTGCAGGTGCGTCAAAGTGAATCTAAACCCCCCAAAAAATGTAATTTCTTTTCTTTTGATCTGTTAAATATCCCATTGAAAGCGTTTCCTTACATCTGTTCAATAAGTGCAAAGTGTTGATCCCGCCAGAAACCAGCGAGCCGAGAACTTCCTGTGCTCTCCGCCTGTTCTGACTGACATTGTTACATTGTCTCTAGAAATGCAAAACTCCTCCTCCCTATTTTATAGAGATAAAGAGATAAAGAAGACGCCCAGGGCACATGCCCCCCCCCTAGCTTCAGCACTGCCCCCTACCACCCCCTTGCCTCCTCTTCCCCCACACTGAGCCACTCTTACCTGGCTTCTCCCCCCTTTTTCCCGCAGCCTGCTCAGTCCGGGTACTGACGAGATGCCCCGCCTCCTGCGGAGCCCGCGCTGTACTGAGAGCCGCGCATTCCATATGACAGCCGCTGCCTGAGGCCCCGTTCCCACTGCGCGATATGCATATCGCGAGATTTGCCGCGCGATATCGCGTTCAAGCTTGCATTGAGCAAGCTTGAATCGCGGCTAAATCCGCTCCAAAAAGGGTCCTGCTGTAGCGACACACGACCCGCGACAGCAGGACCCTTTGCCCCATTGAAATGCATTGGAGCGCGATATCGCGGCAAATTACCGCGCGATAAATCGTTCAATGTGAACGGGGCTTTAGTCAGTGAGAGGCATGCCCCCTGGAGCCTCCGCGCCGCTTCAATGACGGCCCAGCCTGCGCGGCATCAGAGGGGCCTGGGGACCACCCCAATTTTCTCACGGACCACCGGTTGGCGACCGCTGTTCAAGGGTGACAACGGTGACCCTAGGACAGGAAGTCTGTTACTGGCAGGATCATCAGGTGAACATTAGACATGTGCGATTCGTTTCGTTCCGAATTACAGATATAACGAATGCAAACGAATCCGAATTTCCTTTTCCGAAATTCGGTAGCGGTAGTTCGGTCGAACGTTCGTTTCTTATTCGTTTCGTCCGTTGAAGAAAAACATTTTCCCCCTCAAACGTCACTTTGCTGCAAACGAACAAAACGAATAAGAAACGAAAACGAAACAAACGTTCGAACGAACTGCCGCTAACGAATTTCGTCCGAATCCGAATTGACTTTCACACCCGAATCCCGAAAAACGAAATAACACAAATCCGAATTTAAAACGAAACGAAACTAAACGAATTTTTTGGCAGTGCACATGTCTAGTGAACATTAAAGAAAGAAAACGAACGCAGCCGCCTCATCTAAGGAACGGCACGCTGCCGCCTGTTACATTTTTGGTTCTCGGGTTTAGATACACTTCAACTTGTTCGGTGAAGAAAGCGGAGCGGAGGTGATAAGTACGGAGGACACCCGGGAAGCACAAATGACGGTGATGTGGAAAATGATAATGGACTACCGGTGACATCAATATACAATACCAATGCGCAGCTGGGTCGGCATCGAGAGGGTGTTTAGGAGGAAGATAGGAGGAGGAAATAAAAGAAAATATAAAATAATAATAATAAAAAAGAGAAAAGTTCCATCACTGAGCAGAGGCAGCAGATCGTTAGGATGAGGAAAGTCTAATATCTGATAATACAACAACAATGTATAATGTCATATAATATAATATACAGTATATATACATGTATCATGAAC